TCGGTTGTAACAAGCCAGAATGTCACTCATTACTTGATATGATTCACACATTAATCTTGCGAGATGCTGAAGCATGACATTGGAGTGGCATCGGGCATCAGCGACGAACCGCGTGCTGTCTCCACCCGAAGAACAACCGCATCTGCGCCTTGCTTTAGGTCTCCTCCGACGACTACGTGAATCGGAAGGAAGGAGGATTACGAGCTGGGTGCTGTTACGTTTTTATATAAAAAAAATAAATAAATGTTGAGTGAAATAGACGCATTACCGTATGAATGGGAAGAAGAGGAGGAAGATGAAGAAGAAGGACGCTGGACTTTTGCCCGAGATGGTGTTGGTTCTTCAGGGGGCACTTGCTGGGGGTGCTGCTGTTCCAGGGCTCGCTGAGTGTCTGCAGAGTGCTGATTCTGTTGTTCCCATTTGTCTACCGAATTGTATACAAGGAGGCTGGAGCCTTGAGAGCACTGAAGCAGAACGCTGTCTGGAAGTGAGTTGAAAAACATTATTATTACACGAGGTGAGAACTGTTATTATTATTACATATAGTCAGAGAAGCTCGATCGCAGCCAAAACTTACTTTCCAAAGTCTCCTCTGTTAAGGGGCGCTGCTCCTGTTCAGTGTGATGGGCGCTTTCTTTTTTTTTTTAGAAAATAGAAACTTAGTATTTAATTTTTCGCGTCAGGTGTATATATATTTTAAACATGATTCTTTTAAACTCACCAGTAACGTCGTGGTTCTGGCTCTCCAAAGATTGCTCCTGGCGTAAAGCTTCTTCATACGCCCTCAAATAGCTATCTACCCACAGGAGTAAAAACATTTTTTTTTTTCAAAATATATTTAATATAGACACACAAGGAAATGTAAGGGGGCGGGACAACGCTTCTGATTGGATAGCCTTTCACCTAGAACTGTCAAATTGAGTTTGATGAAAACCGGTCTCTATACTCTCTAGTGCAGCTGTGGCAGACTGCAGATTCTCACTGTCCTCATTATAGTTTCTACCCTTTTATTTCAGTCTTCCCAAGACTGACCTCTGAGTAATTTACCCCAGAAGCAGGCACACTTTCTTCCACAAAATTTCAAACCTCAGTGTCTATACAGTCAGCTAACCAGCACAATGAAGTCAGTTGGTCATTAAGTAATGGAGGAAAAATAAAAGCAATAATAAATGCAGATAAGGTGCAATATTGAGAGGGGGCGGGACAACGCTTCTGATTGGATAACCTTTCACCTAGAACTGTCAAATTGAGTTTGATGAAAACCGGTCTCTATACTCTCTTGCACTAACAGTACTAGGTATCTACTTGTACTGTCATGATCCATATGCTGCATTCTTTTTAATGTTTTATCCATCTATGTGCATTATAAGCACTTTGAAATGCTGCTGCGTATGAAAATGTGCTAAATAAACAAACATTCCTTGCCTATGATCTCATGATTAACCAAACAAGATGCTCTGACCCACTGTTCAGACAAACATGAACATGACATGAACCACTGTTCAGTACCACAGATCACACAATTGTAAATGAAAGTGTGGCGACCTCAGCAAAATAGTTTAATTTATTTATACTGTATTAAAGTTATAAACATCAGGCAGTGATTTTACACATCACCATACAGATATGCAAATCGATTGATCTTGTGGACAGTCTCCCAGTAATCTAATTACAGTACAGTGATAATTTCTCTGGTCACTCTTCAGCCTTCTAGTTAGAGAAATGACCCAAAATGACCAAACAATCACTGGTTTTATAACAAACCTATGCTGGTCAAACCATGGTTTCGGTGTCATAATTATAATTGCATCAGGGCTTCAGTGACAGTTAAATTATTTCAAACCAGTCTCACCATTATAGTTTAATTCTTTGTATTAACAGTCTTACCATTATAATGTTATGCTTCATTTTAACACTTTCCTTCTACACATTTATACATAACTTTCATTCACCTGAACAGTGTGGTGTGTTGGAAATGCATTCAGAAAGCAGTTGGAAAATTAACATGGTATTTCCCCCAGTAAAGCAATTCTCTTCACATTTGCAGAGTTCAAACTGCACTGCTCTGGAACATAAGACTTTATATTTCCAAAACAAACAAAATACAGACTTGCTTGAGCATAAGATTAACCATACGTGGCTCAGTATGCTTCAAACAAAGTGCTTGTCAGGGTGTGTAAAGACATCTGAACCCTTCTGACACCAACAGTTTCTACTACTTTCCAAAACAGATGAACTATCAATCACAACCACTTGCACAATGATTGGGCTGGTGTGTGGACGTGCAAATGTGGGCAGGATTTGAACATTTCTCTCATCCTTTCCTTTTCATTCTTCACACATCCACCTCCACTTTTTGTTGGAACAGAGTACAGTACAACACCGTGAATCTCGTTGAGGAGAAACTGTCCTAAAGTGTGTGCCATTATCTCCAGCTATACAATTCATTCTTTTGAGACTACAAATATACTGTAATTGTTATGCCCATGTTCTAGTGTAGTCATTTTGGAGAGGTAGTAACATGTTTGTGTTTAAAGTTGTGGTCTATGTAGTCTACTTTAGGTGTAGCCCTACTGTATTACATGTCACAGTCCTGGCGTGGTCTCCTGGAACTCGGATGTCTCAGTCACTGAGCAGCTCATAAGGACAAATGTTAAAAATGCAAGCCCACAAGGTAGGGAAAAATGACAACAGGTGGGATTATCAAAAGTCAAATGGGGCATAATGTGTATGTTTTTCCCCTGGCTTTCTATTTTCTACCTGTAGCTATTAATCACTGGACAATGTGCACTATGTGCCTGTACAAGAGAGGGCAGGTTTGAACACAAGGGTGGTGCCTCCGACTTTTACTTATGCCTGGGAGTTTATATGAATGCTGTCAGCGGCAAACAGCGGCAAAACAACAAGCGTGTTTACACCAGTACGCTTGAGAAAATGTGAGGAGATAAAGCAGCCTTTCTCATACTGACAAGAAAATCATGGGATACGAGAGAGGGACTATCCATAAATAAATTTAGTTTAAAAAAAACAACACTTTGTTTCTTCACATTTCACCAATTTCATTTGCGGTTTTGTTGCCACGCAAGAAGGCGTTGACATACACACCAAGGAATAAACAGTTAGTGTCACCAATGGAAGGGACAAATTATGACCCATTTAGCTTTTGATACCAGTATAAAGTAACAAATAATGGTTTACTTCAAGCAAGGTCTCTTCTGTTCCAGTCAATACAAACCATATAAAGTCAAAGATGGTGCAGAGGATGGTCCTTACACTTTGAATCAAGTGCTGCTCAGCCATGGTGCACTCAGCGTTTTCATTAATAGACAGAAGTTATATTACAGTGATACTACTGAGTAAATTGGTTGCACGTTTTCCGTAGCTTGCAGTATTCCAGTCGCTTAGCAAGTAAGCACTGACTGACCTCAACAGGTGAAACCTGTCTTGGTCAAATCAAATTATCCTCCTGGTTATTTTATAACATGGCATCTTCCCCCCCCCCACCACTTTATAGATTTCCTTATGGTCTTATTTTCAACATTCATTACATGACACATTTTATGAGCTATTCAATGGCTTAAGCGGCTGTGGATCACAGCCACTGCTCTGAGCTTCTGCACAAACTACTTCTTGCAGTTGCCTCCCTGTATCATTGCTGAAGAATCCGGTCATCTTTAACCATCAGGGTTGACTTCATATACCTTGTTAAGCACTGGATTTGGCCTTTGTTAATGACTTAAAACCTTGTAAGAGCATTTCATTTTCTTATGCACACAGCTCTGCTTCAGATTAGTTTCACAAGCTTAAACAGTAACAGGGCTTACAGTGCATTATCAGAGACAGTCTGTAAGGTAGCTACCAAACTCAGCTGAACATGTGATGTTGTTTACATTTGGAATAAAAAAAATACACCAAACAAAATGGGCCCAGCGAATAAGGCACACTGCCTGCAGATGTTATGAAACAATGTTTAGGGGGGAATTTTCCTTTCCTACAAGTTTGAACCTTTAGCGAAGTCTCGCTGACTGTGAACGAGCACCTTATTTTAGGAGCTTCCCTAACAGGCTTGGGTCAACACCTGACTTCCCAGTTTCACTGAGCCCCATCTGTGCTGCATTAATTTGTTCATTAACCACTGTGTCTCCTGGTATTCTTTGGTCTGACAGGGTGAACCTCTGAGAAAGGTTCTTTCTCCTCTTAAACACCATTCCCACTGTACAGTCTGAATTAGTCTCTCAGCTCCAGCTGATATCATACTGTATCCAGCCCTCTGGCGGTGCCAAGAACACCCTCTGTCCTCGGTATAGGAAACAGACTACACCCCTGTAACCTGTACGAGGAACTCCAGATTTCAAGTCGTCCATCACCCCCAGATTTCGAGCAAAGACTTTAAAACCGTCCCGACTGGAATACTGCACCCTGTATGGTCCCGGGCCTCTTAAGCTGCTACCTTTCTGCAGGTCCTCAATCTTCATCAATGGGGCACTGTACACCTCTTTGATAAACTTTTTATCATACTTGTCTTTTAGCAAATAAGACAAATTATGCTTTGTAAAAGGCACAAATTCAGTGTTTAGCTTAATATAGCGAAGGTACTGGTCAAAAAATTGACCTAAACTGACACCTTTTCGGCCAAAGGTAATAGTCCGGGAAATTTCAGGGCGGATGCAAGAACGGTCTTTGCGCTGCTCTGGTTGACGCATCCAGTCATCCCAGAAGGCTGAGGGCCATTTGGGTTCTAGTTCATTCCACAACTCCTTGAGTAGCATCCAGCCCAGACCAGGGAAGAAGTCAGTTCTGTAGAGGAGCCCAGCCTTAGAAGAATCCACCAAGGCGTCTCTGCCATTATCGTTCCAGGCAGAAACACACCACAAGGTGGGGTCAGAGCGTAAGATTGGATACAGTGCTCGGAAATATTCAAAGAAGTCTGGTGCCACCTACATGAGAGGAGGGAGATGCAAAGCAATGAGATACTGCTGCTGCTCTGTCAGAGAGAGTCCAGACAGATCAAAAAAATCAATTAAAAGTCAGTTCACATGAGGCAATTCTACAGTAATGAGGAGAAAAGTATTCTGGACAACTCCAACTCTAAAGTACCAGGGATGATCACTATAATTTTAATTTCTTTGATTTATTTATCTTTGCATACCACAGAACCTATAAACATAATTCAAGTGTATTACAATACAGGTATTCTTTTCAAAGTTTTGGCCATCATTTATTTGAATAATAATATTGTACTCATCAAGTGCAATGTGCACAGTTTCAGTAAGGATGTAAGTAAACAATAAATTGGCCCCAGGGTGCTTCAAGGAACAGGTAATGCTCCAAAGCAGGGGTGGGAATCATGTATACAAGTCATTTTAATTGTGCTGTTCATACTGATCAAGCTAAGGGCGGCATAATCGTAAGCCAGCCTGTAAACTGAGACAGCAGGCTGGCGCTCCGCAGCAGAGGCACAATGTGACATAAATTTTAATTTGTTAACTTGTTCAAAATTAATTTAGAGAGAAATGTTAATAAATTGATCCAACTTTTCCAATTTTTTCCCCATTTCCCTAACTCTTAAGTCAGGCAAATTATTTAATGTATATACATTTGTCTCATTCAAACATTAGACATATCAAAATTTAAATCTTGAATCTCAAATCTTATCTGTGGGGTGAAACAGGCTTTTCACAGCTGCATTTCCCTATGCTTAAGAGAATTATTTATTTGATTACAATTCTGAAAAGAGAATTAATTCGGTTTTTCAATTGCATGTATCATGAGTATTGCTGATAATGTTTCTTGAAACTAAACTATGACACTAACCCCATGAATTATTTAATATTTAGAAAAAGAAACATTAAGTTTTACACCTATAAAAATATTTAGGGAACAACAATGTATGTCTGTGTGTTGCTGTGTGTTGCTGCTCTGTCCTATTGCTTGGGGAACCCTAATAAGACCCAATAATGCTGTTATAAAACCTATAATATAATGTTTGATATGAAATTCTAACACCCACATGCAAAGTCCTCTGAAGTATGTAATTAGGGGTCGGCCTTTGCTCTAGACAGAACAGAGCTGTTCATGTTTTGCACTGATGACTGAGCGTTTGAGCGTGACAATAAAAGGTGTAGAAGAGCTCCAACTGTGTCATACAACATTTTGTATGGGAACATGAATAGGGGATTTACTTTAAGAATCAGGGCAGTTGAAATAGGTCCTGCCATGTCACATTTATCTCAAATGATGCATAGCCCCAGAAAAAAGACCTCATTCCCGTTCAAGTTCCCTATCCTGTGATTCTTCTGCCTTGGACTCTACATCATCTGTTTCATCCAGTGACAGGAAGAAGAATGTAGTGGGTAAAAATAAACAAGGTTCCAGAGGTAATATGTAATAGAACAGTATGTAGTTCATATATAGATATTATTTGTAATAGTTGTGTAAGGATGTAAGGGTGAGCTAAGTGTCTAGGTAAGCTTGATCTGTTTCTCTTTTCTTGCTCAAGCAGGAATATCTTGGGCTGTGTCCCCCTTGTTTAACTTATGGGTAAACATCCCAAGGAAGTCTAGATAGGGAATGGATATACTGTAGCTGCAGCCTTATGTGAACTATTTGTGTGCTCTGTTCAGATTTAGAAAAAAGGAAATGTGCGCTATGTCAATGTGACCTAGAAGTTCATGTACTGGACATTTTAGACAATGCTCGGAAGAAGGTGTGTGTGGAGCTGGCATGAGACTGCGTCTCATGCTCAGGCCATGGAAGGCTGTGTAAGTGCAAGCAGATAAAAGGCTAGGATAGCTGGGTTAGAGCAGAAGAAGAGAGGATGACAATGCTACTGTGAAAAGTGTTCCGGGGACCCAGACCTGGGTGGGGAAATGAACTCAGGAATATGAACTCTGATTGACGGTACCTTGTAAACAAGAACAACTGACTGGACTGACTGGTGCTTTTGACAAGCTTCTTATTTAATGCTTTTTCTATTTCACAGCAGGAGGAGTGACTCTGGTCTCTGTTCTCTTTTCCCTATCAGATTATCTGTTCCACTACTACTCTGTTCAGAATAATTGTAATATTAAATGATCACTTAAATTTGGATGATTTGTCTGAATTAATTTAGTCGGCCCTCCCGTTGGCCCACCACCTGCAGGAGGATCCGTAAGGGGCCGGTGCACTGTGGATTGGGCAGCAGTCGAAGGCAGGGGCCCC